AGCCATATTTCTGGCGGAGAGACGGAGAGAAACTCGATTATAAAAGGTAAATCAGCTCAGCAATACGTTCTACTCATGTATGTACCAGTCCCAAATTGTGAAGAAATAATTGATAAAAAAATCATTAGTCTTGGGCGTCGCCAAGTGAATGTCTGGGCATGCATAATGAAAGGGGATTTTAGATTTTTTTTAATCCAAAGAGAATGCTTATGTATAGATAAATCACATGTTATGTGATCCAGTCTTTTTGTGAATTGTAAAGTCTTTTTAGTTATCTAAATGGATTTTAGGGATTGTAGGCAAATCGAAATATGTAATAAATTTAAAGAGGTCTATCTCTTGATGTGTCACCGTGTATCTATTAAAAAGTTCTATTTCATTCGTTAACTTGCCAGGTCTGAGAGCTGTCAGCCTTGTCAGCCGACGAACAAATTAATTCGGTGCGATTAGATCGGGCTGAGTTCAATCCGAGCTGACGGCAGGCTAAATCTCGTGAATTCGATTTGGGTCTCCGAGGCAGCTGTCATTTGTTCCTAAATTTACGGACGTTTATTAATTTTTTTTACGTTGCTCCACTGAAACGGGCAGGCGCTTCTTAATCAAAACCCCGCCTTGATGTCGTTCTGACGTTTCATCGGATTTTAATTTAGCGTAGATTATTTTCTATAAAAAAAAATTAACACCTAGAATGATGCATGCTGAACGTCGTATAGATGCTCTAGAACGCAAACGCTTTAACTAGAGGGTTTTTGTATTGAATATTAATAGGATCCCAAAAGTTTTTATTGATCTTTTAAGGCATAACTATGTTTATTTATGCCTAGTTGTTTCACAAATGGCCTGATAATCTGAGAAGTATGATTAAATTGAAGGAAAACATAGTACCATGTATCTTAAGAAGTTAACTGGACGCTCGTGTTGGTCGAAGTCTTACCTACCGTTTGTTGCAGGGTGTCAACGAATGGCAGCCTGGAAGTGTTCCACAAGCGGGATGTGGAGGGGGTGTACCAGTGCGGGGTGCATCACCATCGCGGGGTTGTGCTCGGCAACCCTGTACATCTTAAGTTTGCATGTGAGTATTAACACATTTGATTCCTATTTGTATACGCATTGTAGTTAAAATTATCGGCTATTTAATAATGAATTACTTAGTATTCCTAAAATTAAAATTGATCTATAAATTTGGTGGTAAACCACTCAGATTTTCGTTTGTGAATACAGTATTTGTGTTACTTTTATATAACGGATGGCTTGTAGAGTGATATAAGACAAGAAAGTGATAGATTACGTCGAGGAAAAAACTAACAGACAATTTTCCCAACACAAATTACCTCAAAGGGGCGAACCTTTCGGGATATGACAGGCGGCGGGATCAAAGTGGCGCGTGCTGCGCGTGTACGTATTACTAAGTAGAACTTCTTTAAGTTGTAAGTTGTATGTTGGTTTCTTAACGTGGGTTTACACTGACGAAACTTGCACAAAACAAACATATCAAAGTTAGGTTCAATTATTGGAAAACTACGTACAGCATAATGAAAAATAAACTCCCCTAAAATTATAATACCCCCACGTAACGTGTAAATTACCCCTATAACGCGATTTATTGCTCTGCTCTGTTAAACGTGTTATACAGAAGGATTCGTACAACGTGAGTTTCTATAACACGCAACCTTCAACCACGTTACAGGGAGTTTAGTTGTACGTAAAAATTAATAATTTTACGTAGTAATGTACAGATAATTAAAATGGCTGAATAAAAAATATCATTTGTAACAGCTTGATTCAAGCTTGGGAAGCTATTCATTGAGCTCGCTTTCATTACTCGTTGAGCTGCAGCAGCTATTCAAGCTTAATTGGTGCCTACCATTGTGTGCACGTTACTATGAAACTTTTTAATTAAAATAGTATGGAATTTGCAATTCTTGGATAGTGCTAAGGGATGCTAAAATGTGATTTATGTTTATTTAATTAGTATGGTTTATTTGGAACATTTTGTGTAATGGCGAAGGTTAAGGAGTCAAATAAATGGAATTATAAAAAGTTGTGTGTTGGTGGCTTTTCAATGAACTTTCTTCACGATTTATTTTCCAAGATTAACATATAGAACTTCCAAAAATATAAAAGACTTAACGTTGTTGGCGACTTCGCCCACGTGAAATTAAAAGTAATTAGTAAAAAATCTAGCCTATGTTAGATATATCTAGCATATGTTACTTAACGGTAACGTAGCATTTTAATGGTGAAAGAATTTTCGAAATCAGCCCAGTAGTTTTTGACTTATTCCAATACATACAAAAATACAAATCTTTCCTCTTTATAATATTTTTATAGGTATGTGATCTTAATATTATCAGTATATCATTAATAGATGAGTTGCGATATTTTCCCGTATATTCTTTGGTAGAATGGACATTTGAGTCATTGGCAGCTTTCCATCAGAGCCTACAAGGTTCATTACCATTCTAGTCGTAGTTTCGATCCCTCTCGTATCGTAAACATACTGTAATCCATCTATCATGTATATTTCGGATAGATAAAACCAATGAATAATGATAGAAATAGAATTTGATTAACTACAAGATTTATAGCTTTTCTATAGAGTTTTTAGAAATACTATAGCACGTTTGTCCTCTTTAAAACAAATACATCTTTATTTTAACTAAGCTATCTCATAACTGTTTTGATTCCTATGATTTTTTTTTATAATATAAGGTGGCAAACGAGCAAGTGGCCACTTGAATCCACCGAAATGGAACGCGACCGCTGCCCATAAATATCCGCAATTGTAGATGCGTTGCCTACCCTTAGTTGACGGAGGAAGACACCCACATAAAGAGGACATTTCCCCTTCCTATGCGTCTCCTCCATCGTCAAATCCACCTTTCCACCGGAAGGAATGGAACCCATTCCTTCCTCTTAAGAAAAGGGTGGAAAGGAAAAGGGACTAAAAATGGGCCTCCGGCACCATACTTATCAGACGAAACGCGGAATTGCTCCCACTTCACGCCTGTTTTCTGCGTGGTGGTGGTATTACACTGGGCGAGCCGGCCCATTCGTTCGAAGATGTTAAAGCGGGCTCTATCACTGTTATATGACTATGACTGTATACGAAGGTATACTTACTCGATTTTTAGTTGTGCAACTAAACAGTTGAATTGGCTGCGAAACAATCGACAGTCGCACATTTGTGTGATAGTCTAGTCAAAGGTGTGTACACGCACTTAACAGTTAGAGTAAGTTACTTTAGTTAGTTAGTACTAAATTAGTTATTATGGTAACATTGATTTTGACATTTGTAATTGAGAATTTGGCAAATGTAAACAACAAAATAAGTTATAATTTCATGCGGATGAAGCCGCGCCAGATTAGCTAGTAAATAATAAAAGAAAATTATACGTATGTGCTACAAGCTACAAATTGTAATCGTCTCCCTGATCAGTGCTGATAACGAGTCTGTTGTTTTGTTGCTCGAACAAATTAGGGAAAAAAGTATGTAGCGAGTAATTTGCTACGGCCGCCGAGTTGGATAATTACAAGTTATTAGTGCACACCAATACTTTGCTCTTTGTTATCGTCCGGTAACCATTGGAACTGTGCTCGTGTGGAAGTCGGTTATAACCGGAAAGGACCGGTAATTTTGTTTTACTAACCGATATTTTTAAACGGTACTATTTATATGAAAATATAAGTTGTCTACACATGAAATAATAGCATTGGTTTATCATGAAAGCGTCTATAACAGTTCATGTTACCGTTAAGACAACAATATATCCGATATTCGAAGCGAGTGACAGTAGCGACCACCCGCGTCGCGGTCATATTACGATAACCGCCGTTTGTATTTAGTGCCAATCGATTATTAGAATTGGCATACAAGGAACATCCAAACTGAATAAAAATGGTTAGCGTGCGTTCTACGCGTTTTATTTTTGATCGATATTCGGTAAAGAGGAAAGGTCGAAAATAGATTTTAGTGCCGCTTCCGAGGTTGTAAACATGCGACGGTCCCGTACGCACTTTTATATCCGAATCCGACGACCTTGTTACATGCACAGATTCACAATAAACTTATGATAAAACTATACACGATAGTAATATTTTGTATATTTATTTGACGTAACACACGGTACACACTAGAACATAAATCATAATTTAAAGATTTGAAGTTCCTATGACTTTAATTCTGAAGTTAAAATTTAGCTTACGTGGTGTTAAGGGATTTCCTCCAGCGGGCAACAGACCGCGACTTCACGCTCGACGCCCTGGGGCGGCGGCCCTAGGTCTCCAGCCATTTATAACCGGTTCCCACGACTTGCACAAATACTATGCTATCAATTGTACCTTAATTCTGGTGTAATTGCAAGGGCATCCTTTTAAACTAGCTAGGAAAAATAAATGCCGTTATTTGTTGTTTAGTCCAGTTTAATGCCGTGAAGAATAAAGAGTAATTACAAAATCATCTTGAAGAGGGCGTCCTGCTCATTTTACGGCAATGCCTTCGACCATAAAGCAATCGTGCGTGTATTCGCTCCATAAAAACATTGTTTATTTTCATAGTTGGTAAATAATTGTGTTAGTAAGTGAATAAATATTCTAGGATTTATTATACTTTACTAATATATTCACAAAGCTGGTGTTTGTCACGTTACTGTTTGTTATGTACAAGCGGTGGTGTCATTAGAGTGCCCCCTTCCCCTCGACCCCGCCCCCCAAAACATCTCACACAATATCACCGACATGTGCGGCCCTCATATTTCTTCCCTATTATCTCTGCTTTTCTTGCTTTATGGAAAACGTACAGTCACATACACAAGTGATTCGGTGACAGATGTTGCTCGTTGAATTATTCATTTTATTATAATTACGATTGGTAGCTTTTAACTATAAATCTCAATTATGCCAAAAAATATGTTAAATGCAGTTTATGAAAAAAGTTCGATACATTATTTTTTTATTGCCAGTTGTTACGGAAATGCTTACTAAATCAATTAAAGTAAACTCAAATGAATTTAAAAAATTCAACCAGAATTATTACGATTAGCTACTTTAGTTTACTTAATAAATTATATATGTTTATTGTATAAACAAACACAGTTTTTTAAACATATATAAGTACACGTAGAGTACAAAATTATTTAAATTAACACATTGTACATTCTTACACTGTCGTACACGACTGTACCAAATAACGCGGCGTCCTTATGTAAGAATATTTTTACGCCGCGTAATATATCTCGAACTAAAAGGAGGTCGAATGTGTGTTCAGTTTGCTTCCGCAGTCTTGGGCGGGAAAAGATGAAAATTTCCCGCAGTACGCAGTAATGACGCAGCGGTTACGCCGGGATTAAGGGATGGTGGAAGGATTTTTTTAATACTCTCTATAGTTTTTCGTGTTTGACGTTATTTTGATAGATTAATTCGATTAATAATGTAATAAATAATATGCTATACTTGTAAAAAAATACGTTATAATGTAATGAATAAACAAGTAATTTATTATGAAACATTTACTTCTGCTTTTGATTTGTTTTTGATTAATAAGACAGAATTCCTAACATCAAGACATGATTCAAAACATCTTGATATTTTCTACGAAATACTAAAATCTAATTTAATATGTTGTTTGTTTAATTAGTGTTGGATTTTGTACAAACAAGAATATTATATTTACTACCATTGTGTTTGGATTCTAGTTTGTAGGTGACTTTTTTTTGGGTTATTCTTTCTTGAAATTAGTATTTTTTAAATCGTATAAAATTAATCAATATTCATACTAAATGAAAACAAGTGAATTTATATCGCAAAATTTTGTGGCATGATGCGATATTTGAAAGTATGAGCGAGTCTGACGCCAAATAGACGCCCATCACTGCTTACCCCTTTGGATTACTGGTGTCTGTTACATTGTTTTTGTTATTGTACATTAAAATAATTTAAAGTACTGTGGTAGAGTAATTACTAAACTATCCGAAATATTCACGCGGGTCAGCGTTTGTTTTACTAAAGTGTGATGTAACCCAGTTTATATGTCACGTGTCCTGACAATGTAAGCATTAGAGGTTAGAAAATTAGGTTACAATATGTATATATTTTAAAGGTAATAAATGTGATATTGTATGTACCAGTTTTTATAAGAGTGGATATTTTGAATACTTTTGTACTCAAGAAACAAAAACGGAAGTAAAAACTTATAAAAATTATTCCAATAAAAATTGGAGTTTAATAAACGGTGTTATCCCAGTGAAAGCTAACGTTTATCTTAATAAGTTGAGGCAAAGATCCTGTATAAATATTGTTTTTACTGTAGAAATTAATTCAGGGAACCGAATGTTGAGTTTGTTTGCACACCGGAATGCCGGAGCTCGAGTTACTTGTTATTTTCAAGTTGGCTAATGTTGACGACTGGGAACTACGGTATATTCTAATGTAGTATGAAAGTTTGAACAACGTTTTTATATTCTAACTCTTGGGAAGGGGGAGTGGATGTTTATGAAAGGGAAATATTTGTTTTGAACATCCTGTATAACAATAGATTGATAAACTCATATGTATGTATAAAACATTTATTTACGAGATTTGTTATGCGAAAGGGGATGGGTACATAAACCAGAAAGTGTTAAAAATGTGGATGGCAAAGGTAGAAGACCGAAGAAAGTATGGATGGACTGTGTGAAAGAGGATATGCTTAAGAAGTTTAGATATGACGGCTGATAAAAATGTATGGAAGAATAGAACATACTGTGCCACTCCTTAGGGATAAGGGCACGTTGATCCGAGAGTTATTCTTTCCTAATTGCTACCAATTTAATTTACTAGAGCCAGATAGACATATTGAAAATTTTGATATATCAAATTATTAATTCTATAGCCAAAACACTGCTAAAGAAACAGTATCATAGATTTTAAAGAAGATGAACAAAGAGTTAGTTTAATAAAAATTCTTAAGACTTTCCTCCTCGTTTGTGGAAAATCTATCCAATACATAAAACATTATGTAAAATAAAATATAATGCCTTTACAAGGAGCAGGTAGGGTTATATAATCTTCAAATATAATTTATCCTGGAAAAAGATACTACTCAGAAAATTCTTGCTTAAATCTTTTTAAAGATACAATCGGATTATTATTTTTAATCCTTGTTAGTTTTCGATCGAATAAAATGTGTTTTTACAAATTGCTATAATCTAGGAATTAGTAATGGAATAAACGATATTTGATTATATTTGATAATGTACTGTGGTGTTTTGTAAATGCAAAACTAGAAGATATATGTAGACTGATATGTAGAAAATAAAAATCTAGATTGAATGTGGATGGATACAAAGGAAGAGGAAGACCGAAGAAAGTATGGATGGATTGTGTTAAAGAGGATATGCTTAAGAAAGGGGTGGATTCAGATATGACGGCTGATAGAGATGCATGGAAGAGCAGCACATACTGTGCCGGCCCTCCATAAGGGATAAGGGCAAGTTGCAAATGATGATCTAGAAAATAAAAAAAAAAATTGAAAACTTATTAACATGTTGTTAAAATATATTAATTCCTGTATAGGACAACATTATTGTTTAGCGAGAGTTTATAATAAAAAATATAATAGCGTAGAGTAGACGACAGGGTGGAGACAAACCGCGTAATCAATCACTCTGTAGATATTGTTCACTCTGAACGCCTACATATATTCCATTTCATTATTCACACGTTTTCAATTACAGGATGGTTTCCACAAATGTTTTCCCTTGCTGTGACATTTGATTATTCATCACGTTGCGTTACAATTTTATTTAATTAATGAAGTTCATTGACCTGTGCATTTGTTGACTGTATTTTTAACAGATTCCAAACGATTGAGGTTCTCAATTCGTTTGTATGTTTTTAATACTAGGCAGACTGTGGTTCTTGTACAAATATTGCCGTAATTATATAAATTATCTCAGAATCTTAACTAACCAACTTGCTGCAGATATGGATAAGCAATTTTCTCAGCACCCTGAGAACATGACAGTGTCCCGGGGGCAGCCGGTAGCCCTCTCCTGCGGCATAAGTTCCGGCCCTCCCCCACTCATCTCCTGGTTGAGGAACGGCGAGGATCTGCCGCGAGATACAAGGTAATCCAACCACTCGGGATTATTCTAAGTTCCTCCTACTTAGGATGTTACTGGACTAATGGATTAGGATGATTGTTAACGGTTATAATATGTTTTTTTTTATATTTTTTGCAGATATCACATATTGGAGAAGCAATTATTAATCACGGATGCGACGCCAGAGGACGCTGGCAACTACAAGTAGGATGTTTTTATATTTGCTACAAAATTACACATCATTGTTAAGTTATAACAGACAGCAGGTCACCTGGTGTTATGATAGATACCATAGACAAAAGCAACAGATGCGTTAATATTTATGGTGTAAAGGAAATTATAAACTAAATAGGGACAATTGCTTTTCGATTTATCCTTTCTCGAGTCTATATTGGCTATATAAAAATTAATCAGCTGTAAATTTAACCAGATGTATAGCAACAAACCAGCTAGCAAACAGAAGTCGTGTGAGCTACAGCGGCAGTCTGCAGGTCCTGGCTGCAGAGGATAGGGAGCCTGGGTTGCTGGAGGTGCATCACGCGGCCCAGGTCGTGTCGCCCAGGGGAACAGATGTAGAGCTCCCATGTCCTGTTATCGGATGGCCTAGACCAAAGGTGAGATAGGTAATGGTCTACTGCCAAAGGCAAAGACATTTTGTGGTTTAGAAATGTGGCTTTTAGTTTCTTCAACATATATCTATACTATTATAATAAATCGTAAACACTTCATTCTTTGTTGCCTAAGATGTCAGCAATTACAGCATATTTTTGTATAATTCTTTTTATAATAAAAAGCCCTACACTTATGTCACGTTTTAGACTATATATTTTAACGCCATTAAAGTTAGGGGGTAAATATTTTGGATAAAAACCTTAATTTGAGAAAAAGACCATAACCTGCTGCCAACATGAAGGAAGCAAAGTTACCATGGTAAGGTAATTGTTTTTTTTGACATTTGCAATTGAGGACTTGACAAATGTAAACAATGACATAAAGTTTTTATAATTCATGCGGATGAAGCCGCACGGGAACAGCTAGTCGTAGCTAATGCTAGTTTGCATACTGTTTTGACGATGCAATTTCTTTAGTCAAATGATTATTCATCGCTAGATAAATTCTATGTGAGACGTAAAAAAAGCAATTTCCTTAGACATTTACAAATTGTGTTGATGTATTGTGTTGTCTCCTACTTATTTATTTATGAAAGCGGTAAGGGAGCGTCCCTAAATAAGTGATTACTGTCCTTCAGAATACGCAACACCAAAAAAAAACAAGGATAAAGAATTAACACATAGTATAAAGAGACCTATTTTAGTTGCTTTTCTTCTGTGCTTGACATTTGATTGTAATGCCACGTTTTGCAGTTAACTTGGAGACAGACACCTCCGGGGGAGAGGCCCCGTGAGCTGGAGACGACAGCCGAGGTGCTGGTGCTGCGCAGCTTGCAGCCAGACCAGGAGGGCCTCTATACCTGCGAGGTGGATGGACTAACTCATCTCACTAAGGTAACCTGAAATTTACGATAGAGCATTGTTAAGAGTCCCCTTTACTTATAAAATTGGTGGGAAGGAAAAGTGGATTTGGTGATGGAATTGTCGTATAAGAAGGGAGGAATATATTTCTGTGCATAATTATACCCATTGGTACATTTTAGGTTATAGGACCGTTGTGACCCATCATTGGGCCATTGTGTGACACTGTTTGTAATGTAGATGTTTATGGGCATTGGTCGTATCGGTATCAAACCGCTTGTTCGTTTGTCATCTTATTTGATAAAAATGAATAATCAACTATGTAGATTAAACATGAAATGTTGTACTCGTAATAATTATACCATTTGGTTTGGATTTCTCTCCTATTACATATAAATGTAGAAAAGTAATTGTATTCAATAAACAGTTCTTTTATAATTATGTAGGCGTAGATAATATAAAGGAATATATAATATTTCAAAGAGTAATTGTTATAACAAAAAGTACACATTTGAAAACATTTTCCCGTTATCCATTTGCAGACAATTCTTGTAAGATATTTCGTTTGAAGTAATTTCATTGTACTACGCTATCATTTGACAATCCAGCCCTAGTTATACAAGATTATACATTTTCTCATAATTGCTTCGCGTTACAAATGTACAATGGTATCCTATTTTAATTACAACCAGATACTCTACAGTACTGGAATTTAATCTAACATAGTTTATATAAGCTTTGACTGATACAATAATTTATCTCCGTAGTTAAATCGACGTAGTTTTTTTCGCCGTTCCTATCTTCCGTCATCACAGTCGTCTCTTTCTTCATAATACCTTTTTTTATATCATTAGGTGGCAAACGAGCAAGCGGCCACTTGAATTCGCCAAAATGGCGAAGCGACCGCTGCCTATAGACATCCGTAATTGCAGATGCGTTGCCTACCCTTATCCGACGGAGGAGGAGACGCACATAAAGAGGATATTTGCCCTTCCTATGCATCTCCTACACCGTCAAATCCACTTCTCTCCCATCCTCTCCTTATAAGAAAAGGGTGGCAAAGAGAAAGGGACTTAATTTAAGAAGGCCTCCGGCACCACACTCATCAGACGAAACACAGAATTGCTTCTATTTCACGCCTCTCTTCTGTGTGGTCGTGTTATCACACCGGGCGTGCCGGCCCATTTGTGCAAGATGTTAAAGCGGGCACTACCTTTCATGCAATATATTTCTTCCTAGGGTTAGCTTTACAAATATACTTAAAACTATTTTTTTTTAATATAATAGTTATTGTAAAAGGTTATATAGCATGGCCAATAACAATTCTAAAATTTGATGAAGTAATTAAAACAATATTTTGCAAATTTTAATAAAAAAAAATAGAGTACACAATTAAAATAAAACTTTATAAATATTTGTCGCAGATAATGTACTTTAATAGATTTTATCTGATTTTTTTGGTTCAGTAAAGTAAGGATATAGTGTAGTGAACAGATTAATTTAATCCAATAATTCTGTCCTTTTCTCTCTTACGTGTGTCAGTTGAGACGGCAAACAGAGGCCAGGGCTTTCATTAAAAATAAATGTTGCCCTACCAAGTTGGGTATCTCCTACGTAAACAGTTGTAACTTTAAAAATGTGATTTTTCAACAAAACCATTTTTATATACGTTAAAGACACAAAAGTGTTTATATAATAAAATAAAACTATGTTCAATTCCAAATGTTATAATTTAAGATTACAAATTATGCTTTCAAGGATATAAGGATGTTAAATCGACTTTAAAAAGCAAAAGTCATTTTGTTAAAAAAACGAGTTATGACCTTCCACGTAGGGCCCGGCCAAATGGGAATATTTCCAGATACACGTGTAACCCGGGGTACTTCTGCTGTACCATTAATATTTAATAAGGCGTGGTTGTAAAATGTGTGCTCATCTTTTATTTAAGGGCACACTTTTTATCTCCTGCCAGTTTTGTTGTACTTAGAGACAATTAAATTGAAGAAACTTGTATATTTTTTTATTCTAAAAAGGACTGTAACTTACACTAGTAGTCTCTAGTATTCTTATTTCAGAGTTTTTTTATAGCCTTGTCACCAACCAGTTCCTAATGTTTTCTGACCTTATGAATTAAGAACAAAACGTAGACGACATTCTTACTAAAGTCTCTCCTAAATGTTGCTTAAGGCTTAAAGGACCCCTAAGTTTATGGAATTGTTAAATAAAATGTCTATTACTGTCTTACTACTAATTTATATAATTGGAAAAAGATGGATGTTTGTTTGCAGATTTTTTTTTATAACATAAGGTGGTAAACGAGCAAGCGGCCACCTGAATCCGCCAAAATGGCGAAGCGACTGCTGCCCATAGACATCCGTAATTGCAGATGTGTTGCCTACCCTTATCCGACGGAGGAGGAGATGCACATAAAGAGGATATTTCCCCTTTCCTATGCATCTCCTCCATCGTCAAATCCACTTCCCCTTCCCATCCTCTCCTTATAAGAAAAGGGTGGTAAAAGAAAGGGACTAAAATTAGGCCTCCGGCACCACACTCATCAGTCGAAACACGGCATTGGTTCCATTTCACGCCTGTCTTCTCTGTGGTCGTAAAATTACACTGGGCGTGCCGGCCCATTCGTGCTAAGATGTTAAAGCGGGCACTACCACTGTTACTGCATAACAGCTGAATGGGTCTAGATCAAATTTGGCACAGAGATAGATAACTGTTTGGAATAGGGGTTATGCTATTTACTGAGGTTTTATTTATTTCCGCGCGCACGAAGTCGCGGGTAAAACTAGTAGATAAATGTACTGGTATAGACACTGAGGAATTGATGAAAGTGTACCTGTTTGTATATTCGATATAACTATTTTTAAACTGAAATTTTAATTTTAAATGTTACATGTGTAAAGTGTTAACAACGTGTATGAATAATGTTTGTATGATGACATCATCTGTACTTAGGTACCGTACATCTTTCATACATAAAACATAATTTTTTTAAGGGTTTTATTCATAAGTCTTTTTTTGTTGTAGAACATGTTACATTATTAAATAAAAAAATGTATACATGAAGTCATAAAAATATATCCCTACTAGCTTTCGCCCGCGACTCCGTCTGTATGGAATAAAATAAACCAGCCTATATTCTTCCGTGCTATCCTCTACATATGCCTACAAACATCCATCTAAACTTTAGCATATAAAATTAATTAGACGTTGTTCGTGACATCGTCCACGTGATATTTTAAAATAGCCTATGTTTCAGAAATAAAGTAGCTTTTTTATGGTGAAAGAATATTTGAAATCGGATCAGTAGTTTTTGAGTTATTTCACTACATACAAAAATACAAATCATACCTCTTTACAATTAACAAGTTTATGAGCTGATTGTACGCTTGAAATAAAAGTTATTATTATTATTTACAATACTAGTATAGACAAGCATTGATAAGCAATATTTTCTAGAATGTTTTCGTATTTAGTTCATATAACCACTTATTTTAACCTATTACAGAGTTTCAACGTAAGTGTCTTCGAGGCAGTGAGCGTGTCTCTAGTGCCGGCGTCGAAGGAGGTGCTGCGCGCGAGCACCGTGCGCTTCAACTGCTCTGTGACCGGCAGACCAGAGCCCCTCATCTCCTGGTACAAGGACGGACAGCCTCTCACCCTCGCTGGCAGGGTAAGGACTAAAGTAACATCGACTATTGACAGGAAATGGGACACAAACTAGATTATGTTTAACTAGCTGATTCCCGCGACTTCGTCCATGTGGAATATTAAAAATTTTAAAAATATAGCCCCAGTGATATACTCAGAGATAACGTGTCTTTCTAATGGTGAA